AATTATTTCCAGTGAATGCTTGTGGGGAGATACTTATTTCATCATCTCTCGTAATTGTCTGCACATAACAGAGACCTCTGCGTGTCAAACGTCCAACCGGCCGGCGAAAAGGGGGGCCGTTTAGTCATTCTCGCTTCCACTGGACACCGACGTTTATGGTGAAAAACACCTCATGTTGATGCTTAAAACATAACTTAGCTACATTTTAGTCCGTGTGTTGGGCTGCCCTGCCTCCCATTGGATGACTGGCGGCCGGACGGGGAGAGGAAGGAAATTAATTTCCGCTCAGTCTCACGTAAGGAAGGGGGGTGTGATTGCCAAGAAACCCATTGCCATGGGTGCCTGATTAATTTCTGCAGCTCGCAGAGGCTGCGAAAACCATCTCCTTGACAACTCAGGCCAAGAGCAACAGCGACAGAGCTGGGAAAGACAGCAGAGATCAGAATTAGAATTTGCTCTTTTTTCCAAAAAAAAAAAAATAAACTGATTGATTTCAGACAAGAAGGGAGAGATAGAAACATCCATGATGAGAGAGAATCATGGATTGGCTGCCTTCTGCACGCCCCCTACTGGGGATCGAGTCCGCAACCCGGGCATGTGCCCTTGACTGGGACTCGAACCCAGGACCCTTCAGTCTTTAGGCCAACAGCCTGGTTCATAGGTAGACACCCAACCACTGAGCCACACCGGCCGGGCAAATATTTCCCTCTTTCAAAAGCACTATTCCTTCTCAATTCTCTTTTGCTAAAGCCACACGCAGACAAAACACATGGGCATCCTTGCTCCTGGAGATTCTTGCGGCTGGTGCTTCTCCCACTATCACAGTCAATCATTATCCTGTATAATAAAAGCCTAATATGATAAGCGCCCGGTCGTCCGGTCAGCTGGTCAACCAATCACAGCGTAATATGCTAATGATATGCTAAGGCTGCTCAACCGCTTGCTATGACGTGCACTGACCGCCAGGGAGTAGAAGCTCTGACCAGTAGGTGAGCTTGCTGCTGGGGTCTGGACAATCGGGACTGAGCGAGACGGGCCGGACACACCCTGGAGCCTTCCGTGGTTCCTCCGTGGCTGACCAACCTCCCCCGTCCCTCCCCGGCCCCGATCGTGCACCAGTGGGGTCCCTCGGCCTGGCCTGCACCCTCTCACATTCCAGGACCCCACGGGGGATGTCGGAGAGCCCGTTCCGGCCCCATCGCGCAGGCCAGGCCAAGGGATCCCACTGGTGCACGAATTCGTGCACCGGGCTTCTAGGGTCACAAATAATTCGCATTCGTTATGGGCTGGATTAACATACACATCAGACGGAATAATGGACGCACTAAACTCTAGCTCAGTGGCCGGCAAACTGCGGCTCGCGAGCCACATGCGGCTCTTTGGCCCCTTGAGTGTGGCTTTCCACAAAATACCGACTTCTGCGCACGGACCACGAAGTTTCGATTGCACTGCGCTCGCTGAAACGATCGGCCATCTGGTCTACCATTAACGGTGTCCCATCCACATCACGGAACAGAGGGGTTACAGGCGCAGGGTGGATACGGGACTAAAAACTCCGTACGGATGCACGCATGTGCCTGACAGCTCCCAACACACCTGCCCTTGGCACCCGGGGGACCCTGAGGCGTGTACAAGCCCAGGGACCTGCCCATGACCACGCAACCGGGAAGGGTTCGAGTGTGCGTTGGAACCCAGGATGGCGAGTTCTCGACGATTCCTCTGAGCTGAGCAGCAGGGGTAAACCACGTCGACATTACAAACGGGAGGCCTGGATGGTGTGGCTCAATGGATAGAGCATCGGCCCTCAGACTGAATAGGGTCCTGGGTTCGATTCCGGTCAAGGCCATGTACCTTGGTAGAAACATCTATGATGAGAGAGAATCAGGGACCGGCCGCCTCCCGCACGTCTCCGACTGGGGACGGAGCCCACAACCCGGGCCTGTGCCCTTGACCGGGAATCGAACCGTGACCCCCCACGCCCCCCGGTTCCTAGGTCGACGCTCGACCACTGAGCCACACCAGCCAGGCCATGATGTTAACGTTTATTGTGAAAAAAACGTTATCTGTGAACAGCCAATAATTAAATATCTAAACCTCCCCGTCGATTCTCAAACCGGTGAAGCCTTAAAAACAAACAAACAAACAAAAAAAACCCACCATCCTGACCCAACAGACGCTGATGTGTGGTTTGTGCAAACATACCCCCTCTCACGGGGGGGAAAAAAATATTCCAACGTTGACCTAACGGAGGGCGATCGATGCTACCTTTTCAGCCCCAATTGCACACGCCCGAAACCCCTCGTCCGGACCCGGTGAGCTCTCGCTTGCGAATGGCGTCCCAGAAATAAAAACGTAAAACAGGAAAACGAGGCTGGGTGTATTCCTTTCGCATTTTTGGCGTGCGCCAATCCCTGATCGATTCCGCGCGGCCGTGAAATGAATGGCCTAATGGGTGATGGTTTCAGCCCGCACAATTGCACGGCGACGCCTCCGTCATCACGGAAACTATGGATTTTTCTCCCCGGGTGGTGGAATGTGGGCCAGCCTCCCCAATCAGGAGGCTTTTCTGTCTGAAAGGCAGGCATTGTGCGTGAGGTTAAAGACTGGCCCGCGAGGAGGCTCTGGTACGGGCAACGGATGATCAAAGCCTTTTTCATCCTTTATCCTGTCGGGCATCGTTCCGCCCCTCTTTATGTGTTTTATAAAAAATATATACTTTTATCAATTTCAGAGAGAGGAAGGGGGAGGGAGGGAGAGAAAGACAGAAACATCCGTGATGAGAGGGAATCACGGACCGGCTGCCTCCTGCGCGCCCCCTACTGGGGATGGAGCCCATAACCCTGGGCATGTGCCCTTGACCGGGAATCGAACCCGGGACCGCCTGGTTCAGAGGGCGACGCTCAACCACTGAGCCAGACCAGCTGGGCTGAACCCCATCTTTTTTTTTTCAAGCTCAGAATCTATCTATCTATATAAAAGCCTATACGACCGTTGAAATGTCTGCTAGCTATGACGCCACTGACCACCAGGGGGCAGACGCTCAATGCACAGGCATGGAAACATGGAACAGACTGATGAATCGCAGAGGGAAGGGGAGAGAGGGAGGGTGGGAAGAGATTAAGCAAAGATCTTATATGCATCCTAGAGGCCCGGTGCACGAATTCATGCACCAGTGGGGTCCCTCGGCCTGGCCTGTGGGGATCGGGCCGAAACCGGCTCTCCGATATCCCCCAAGGGATCCCAGATTGCAAGAGGGCGCAGGCCAGGCCCAGGGACCCCACCTGTGCACGAGTCCATGCACCGGGCCTTTAGTTTTGTTAAATATATATTTTATTGATTCCAAATCGGGAGGGAGAGGGAGAGGGAGAGAGAAACATCCATGATGAGAGAGAATCATGCATCGGCCGCCTCCTGCACGCCCCCTACTGGGGATCGATGGAGCCCGCAAGCCGGGCATGTGCCCCTGGCCAGACTCGAACCCGGGACCCCTCAGTCCGCAGGCCGACGCTCCATCCACTGAGCCACACCGGCCAGGGCTACATCCCCCTTGAGAATCTACATATAAAAAGGGCTATATTGCAGGCAACGCCCAAGGTTGGAGATCGGCTGAATAATGTCATGGTTTATGGCAGACGGGCACCCAAAATGTCCCTGAAAATCATTTGACAAGGATTCCAGGGGAGAGGGGGGGACAACAAGACAGTCCCCCGTAAATCTCATAAAGGACACCGTTTCCTGTCTTATAAGCAGGTGAGTTCTGCGATTCTTGTAACTGCCTCCTCCCATTCCAGGAAAATTTTCCTCCTAAACTTCTCTTTCTCTGCGTCCAAAAATAGCACCGGCAAACGGCGGAATGAGAAACGAGGTACCCTGGAAGCCCGCAATTTTCGTCTGCTTTAGACGCTATAAAATTTTTTAACCTGAAATGTGCCTGGGCCCGGCCGGGGCGGCTCAGGGGCTGAGCCTCGACCTGTGAACCAGGAGGTCAAGGTTGGTTTGATCCCCGGTCGGTCGGGGCACAGGCCCGGGTTGCGGGCTTGACTCCCAGCAGGGGGCGTGCAGGAGGCGGCCGATCCGTGATTCTCTCATTTATCATGGATGTTTCTCTCTCTCTCTCTCTCCCTCTCCCGTCTTCTCTTTCAAAAAAATCGATAAAAACGATTTTGTAAGCAAATCGACATAGACAGGAAGTAGACGCGTGTTACCAGCACTGGACCGAATTCGGATATTGCACACGGCAGTTCCTATAGATTGATTATTCAATAGGAATCACATTTATTATTCAGCCTGTTATTCAGAACAAAAGGGCCCGTTTCCCGCAGGCAAGCACGTGATTTAGTCACGCAGCCACAGTCGCCGGACGACGCCCATGCGCCGTTCGATCGCGGTGCGGGCTCGGGGAAAAGGGAACCCCAAATTTACGTCAACAACGCGAACTCCCCCGCAATAACAAAGTTCCGCCTTTTTATTAAAACACCCCTCGCTGGTGTATCCCCCACCATCTGTCCTTCCTCCCAACCCTCAAAACGTAAACCAAACGAAGACCAGTAAACCCGCCAAATACGGACGCCAACGGGGCCATCCGGTCTACGCTCAGCTCACCCGCCTGAGCGCGACCCGGCCCTGAATCCTGTATTTCAATTATTCTATTATTCTCCGTAGATTCCACTATTTCGGGGTAGATTCGCCCCTTTAGGGAGGAGCCAGGTAGATACCACCAAGTATCACTCTCCGACTCACGTTCTGTAACGTCTGCCAATCTAGACGCCAGAGCGCGGCTAGAAGGGCTGGGTATAAAAGCGACAAAGTCATTCATCCCCGCGTTAACCGTCCGTCGGCAGAGGCGACGGAAAGACGGCGGAACCGGCGTCCATGGCCACGTTCAAAATAGAGAGGAAAATCGACCTGGGTTTATAGGAAATCGATTCGCGGGGGAGCCGCGGGGGGCAGAGGCGAGGGGCGCGGGCGGGCGGCGCCGGCCGCGTCCGGCGAGCACTTACCATCCTCCGTGGGCACGTAGATGTTGAGGTACAGGCAGTCTTCGCTCTGGTCCTGCACGTAGGTCATGAGGGTGTCCAGGTTGGCCGTGAACCAGACGGGCAGCATGTCATGCAGCAGCGACCGCTCGTCCAGGTGCTGGGGGCAGACGGCGGCGAACTGGGTGGCGTTGCGCACCCCGGTCCAGGACGAGGGGGGCTCGGGGGGCTGGAACCGCCGCTCCCCCGTCGGGGGCGAGGCGTAGGGCACCCCCAGGTACTGCTCCACGGGGCCCAGGATCTCATTGGGCAACGGCGTCCGCAGGCCGCGGATCTTGCCGTAGTTGGTGTTGACCACGGGGTACTGGGCCTGGCCGGCCGCGGGCGCCAAGCGCAGGGCGAAGGCCGTGACCCACAGGTAGACGCTGGAGTTGACCATGGCCAGGGGGACCCACGCCAGTCCGCGGGGTCTCGACATGATTCAGGGCCGCATCCGCGTGGGAGCCGCGACCCCCAGCACGCAGAGCCGGGCGGAGCCGGGGAGCCGGCCCGCGGGGAGAGCGGGTGAGCGAGCCAGGCAGCCGATGACCCGGGGCGGGTGGCGGGAAGGTCATAGACAGAGGTCACGGTCAAGGGCAGAGCCAGCCGTGATCCGGGCAGCCCATGGTGGACGGGGAAGCCTTCTCGGGATCCTGAAATCCAGGGACGAGGATCCAAAGATGCGAGACCATCCGAGACCGGCCGACGAAGACGATCCGTTAGGATAAATGCAGGGCCCAGCGGTCAGCCTGGCGGGAAGAGAAAGCAGACGGAGATAATGAGGCCAGAACAGAACCATCTGGGCCGCGAACGCCTCCATGCGCCCTGAGAGCCGCCCCCCGGTTCAATGCTTATTCCCGTAGAATGTCTGTTTGCTTTTAAGTATATTTAACTAGAGGCCCGGTGCACGGAATTCGTGCACCGGGGCTGGGGGGGGGGTCCCTCAGCCCGGTTTGCCAGAGGGCGCAGGCCAGGACGAGGGATCCCACCGGTGCATAATGGGGAACGGGAAGGGACGCAGAAGGATGGCCAGCCGGGGAGGGACCACGGGAGGGAGGGCTCCAGGGCGTGTCCGGCCCGACTCACTCTGTCCCGATCGGCCGGACCCCAGCAGCAAGCTCACCTACTGGTTGGACCGTCTGCCCCCTGGTGGTCAGTGCACGTCATAGCGACTGGTCAACCAGTCGACTGTCTGCCCCCTGGTGGTCAGTGCACGTCATAGCGGCTGGTCGACCGGTCGACTGTCTGTCCCCTGGTGGTCAGTGCACGTCATAGCGACTGGTCGACCAGTTGACTGTCTGCCCCTGGTGGTCAGTGCACATCATAGCGATTGGTCGACCAGTTGACTGTCTGCCCTTGGTGGTCAGTGCACGTCATAGCGACTGGTCGACCGGTCGACTGTCTGCCCCCTGGTGGTCAGTGCACGTCATAGCGGCTGGTCGACCAGTTGACTGTCTGCCCCTGGTGGTCAGTGCACGTCATAGCGACTGGTCGACCGGTCGACTGTCTGCCCCCTGGTGGTCAGTGCACGTCATAGCGGCTGGTCGACCAGTTGACTGTCTGCCCCTGGTGGTCAGTGCACGTCATAGCGACTGGTCGACCAGTTGACTGTCTGCCCTTGGTGGTCAGTGCATGTCATAGCGGCTGGTCGACCAGTCGACTGTCTGCCCCTGGTGGTCAGTGCACGTCATAGCGACTGGTCGACCAGTCGACTGTCTGCCCCCAGGTGGTCAGTGCACGTCACAGCGACTGGTCGACCAGTCGACTGTCTGCCCCTGGTGGTCAGTGCACGTCACAGCGACTGGTCGACCAGTCGACTGTCTGCCCCTGGTGGTCAGTGCACGTCATAGCGACTGGTCGACCAGTCGACTGTCTGCCCCCTGGTGGTCAGTGCACGTCATAGCGACTGGTCGACTGGTTGACTGCCCCTGGTGGTCAGTGCACGTCATAGGCAGCGGCTGAGCGGCCTTAGCATCTCATTAGCATTTTACGCTTTGATTGGTTGAATGGCCGACCGGACCCTTCATATTAGGCTTTTATTATAAACGATTGATTTCAAAGAGGGAAGGAGAGGGAGAGAGAGGGAGGAACACCCATGATGAGAGAGCATCACGGACCGGCCGCCTCCTGCACGCCCCCTACTGGTCGGGGATGGAGCCCGCAACCCGGGCCTGTGCCCTTGATCCAGAATCGAACCCAGGACCCTTCTTTGGTCTGTGGTCCAACACTCTGTCCAGTGACCAACACTGGCTAAGGACACAAAGTTAACGTCTAAACTGGGTAAAAAAAAATAAATAAACAATAAATAAACTGGGTACAGAATGATATTCACAATAACAAGAAAATAGAACAATTGTGACAACGGACTGTAATAACAGTTATGCAAACGTGGCCTCCCTCCCTCTCTCTCTAACCACCTATTACACTGTCCCCATCCGTCCTCCTGGGAGGACGTGAGATGACACAAGGACGAAATAAATACAGGACTTTCACCCGCCCGGCGTGGCTCAGTGGTTGAGCATCGATCGACCTAGGAACCAGGAGGTCACGGCTGGTTTGATCCCCGGTCGAGGGCACAGCCCCGGGTTTGCGGGCTCCCTCCCCAACCAGCAGGGGGCGTGCAGGAGGCGGCCGATCCGTGATTCTCTCTCATCGCGGAAGCTTCTATCTCTCTCTCTCCCTCTCCCTTCCTCTCTGAAATCAATAAAATATATATATTTTAGCCCTGACCGGTGTGGCTCAGTGGATAGAGCGTCGGCCTGTGGACGGAAGGGTCCCGGGTTCGATTCCCATCAGGGGCATGGACCTTGGTTGCGGGCACATCCCCAGTGGGGGGTGTGCAGGAGGCGGCTGATCGATGTTTCTCTCTCATCCATGTTTCTGACTCTCTGTCCCTCTCCTTTCCTCTCTGAAAAAATAAAATAAAATAAAATAATAAAATAAAATAATATAATAAAATTAAATTAAATAAATAAAATAATAAAATAAAATTAAATAAATAAAATAAAATAATAAAATTAAATTAAATAAAATAAAATAATAAAATAAATAAAAATAAATAAATAAAATAAAATAATAAAATTAAATAAATAAAATAAAATAATAAAATTAAATAAATAAATAAATAAAATAATAAAATAAAATAAAATAAAATAATAAAATTAAATAAAATAAATAAAATAAATAAAATAAAATAAAATCATAAAATAAAATAAATAAAATAAAATAAAATAATAAAATTAAATAAATAAAATAAAATAAAATAAAACAAATAAAATAAAATAAATAAAATAAAATAAAATAAAATATTTTAAATATATATATATATATATATATATATATATTTAAAAAACACAAAAACACCTCTTCCTTTTTTTTTAAATATAAAAGTTGCCCCAAAGAACAGATACGCGCTTTGACGGGTTCTAAAGCCGCTGTTGGCTAACATACACGTCAAGTTCAACATGACGCGAGTTATCGGCTGCTGAAATGATTACACATTTTGGGGGGTTGGTTGCGGGGGGGACGCCCTATCCATGTGGGCGGTTCCTTCCTCCCAGGTGCACACAGGCACGTGCAAAGGTGGACTTTATAATTTTCTCTGTAGTCATCGGACGCCACAGAAGTGTGTGGGTTTTTGTCCGGCCACGGATGCTTTTCCTGGGCTGTGTGCAAGCCTCCCGGTCAGAGCCATTTCCTTCTTCTCCACCCAATGAAACCCCATTACGCCCCCGGCCGGCCGGGCCTGTGGGAGCTGCCCCTGCTTAAGAGAGGTCACGCACGCACACGTGTGTCTACAATCTTCTCATGGAACCGCCGCCCGGTCCGGCCGGGAGGGTGGGTGTGGTTTGAAGGCGGCCACGTTCCTAATCCAACGGCGACGAACCCCGGGCCCAGGGAACGGTAAACACGGCCTGGCCGGTGTGGCTCAGTGGTCAGCGTCGACCTAGGAACCAGGAGGTCACGGTTGGTTGGACCCCCGGGCAAGGGCACAGGCCTGGGTGGCGGGCTCGATCCCCAGTGGGGGGGTGGGGGGGCGTGCAGGAGGCGGCCGATCCATGATTCTCTCTCCTCATGGACGTTTCTCTCTCTCCCTCCCTCTGCCTTCCTCTCCCTGTGCAATCAATCCCTATAGAATCAAGAGGCAATATGCAAATTGACCATCACGCCCTCACACGATGGCTGCCTACGACCAGGCTGGCAGCGGGGAGTGGCAGTTGGGGGCGGCCAGGCCGGCAGGGGGGTGCATTTGGGGGCGGCTAGCCAGCAAGGGGGGAGGCAGTAAGAGGCGACCAGGCTGGCGGGGGGTGCAGTTGGGGGCGACCAGGCCGGCGGGGGGGTGCAGTTGGGGGCAACCAGGCTGGCGGGGTGGTGCTGTTGGGGGCAACCAGGCCGGCGGGGGGGTGCAGTTGGGGGCGACCAGGCCGGCGGGGGGGTGCAGTTGGGGGCGACCAGGCCGGCGGGGGGGTGCAGTTGGGGGCGACCAGGCCGGCGGGGGGGTGCAGTTGGGGGCGACCAGGCCGGCGGGGGGTGCAGTTGGGGGCGACCAGGCCGGCGGCGGGTGCAGTTGGGGGCGACCAGGCCGGCGGGGGGGTGCAGTTGGGGGCGACCAGGCCGGCGGGGGGTGCAGTTGGGGGCGACCAGGCCGGCAGGGGGGTGCAGTTGGGGGCGACCAGGCCGGCAGGGCGGTGCAGTTGGGGGCGACCAGGCCGGCAGGGGAGGCAGTGGGTGGCGGCCAGCCAGCAAGGGGGGGGCACTTAGGGGCGACCAGGCTGGCGGGGGGGTGGGGGCAGTTAGGGGCGACCAGGCCAGCAGGCAGGTGAGCGGTTAGGAGCCAGCGGTCCAGGACTGGGAGAGGGATGTCCGCCTGCCGGCTTAGGCCCCATCCCTGCAGTCGGACGTCTCTCAAGGGGTCCTGGATCGGAGAGGGTGCAGGCTGGGCTGAGGAACACCCATCCCTGTGCACGAATTTTGTGCACCGGGCCTCGAGTAAAAATATATTTAAAAAATAATAAATTGTTCTGTAGGCCACCAGCATCTCATGGAATAACCCCGAGACCTGCACCCGGTCCGGCGTTGAGCAGGCGGAAGGTGCGCTGCATGAACGTGGAATCGCAGCAACCACAGGAGCCTTCGTTGCATTAATAACCCCCAGCGCTTATCGGGGGAACGGAACCCTCCAGCCGGCGGAGGCCTGGAAAGGCCAGGTTCCCAGGAAGGAGAATTCGGCTCCCACACCAGCATCTTTGGACCATGAGCAAGGGTTCGAGCCGGTACTGATGTCCCAGCCCCTGAAATAACCGAGGCCTCAAGTGGCCCGGCTGGTGTGGCTCAGTGGATAGAGCACCGACCTAGGAACCAGGAGGTCATGGATGGTTTGATCCCCGGTCGGGGCCCAGGCCCGGGTTGTGGGTTCCAACCCCAGCGGGGGGCGTGCAGGAGGCGGCCGGTCCATGATTCTCTCTCCTCATGGACGTTTCTCTCTCTCCCTTCCTCGCTGAGATCAATAAATACATTGGATTTTTTCAAATCAATAAATATATTTGAGCCACACTGGCCAGGCTGCACCCTTATTAATAATAATTATCATTATTATTATTGATGGGAAAGTCTGTATCCAGGTAAAGAGAACACTTGACCGGATTTTATTTTATTTACTTTATTTTTTTAATTTGGTTTTTTTTATTTTATTATTTAATTTTTGACTTTATTCATCGACGGGCTGCCTCCTGCACGTGCCCGGAACAGGGCCCAGGCCCGGGGAGGAAGGAGCCTGCAACCCGGGCATGTGTGCCCTTGACCGGGAATCGAACCCGGGACCCTTTCGGTCCGCGGGCCGAGGCTCTAACCACTGAGCCACACCGGCCGGGGCTGGATGGGATTTTTAAATTAAATTGAAGCAACACTCCCAGCTGCTCTCGGTCCCTGGATCTCAAAGGCTGCTGTGAGTCGGGTCCCCCCGGGGACGAATGAACAATCTCCTGGTCCCAGCTGCACCCCGAGCCAAGGGATTCAGAATCCCGGGGGGCCTGGGGGGAGGGGGCAGCATTGGTATTGATGAAATTCTCCCGGCGAACCCCCAGGGCGGCCAGATCCGCAGAACAGAGCTGCCCATGAGGGTATTCACGGCCGCACACCATCAATGCTGGCGTTTCTTGCTTTCCGTGGTTTTTTTTCTATTAGATTTTAACCAGTTAACTGCCACGCGTACAAAACGGAAGCCATCCCCATACGCCATGATATCTTCAATATAATTTTAAAAATCAATTTGTAATCCTGTATAATAAAAGCGTAGTATGCAAATTGTCCCCTCACCTCCATCTATCCATTTATGCATCCATCCATCCATTTATGCATCCATCCATCCATCCATTTATTAATCCATTTATCCATCCACCCATTTCTGCATCCATCCATCCATCCATTTATTAATCCATTTATCCATCCATCCATTTCTGCATTCATCCATCCATCCATCCATTTATGCATACATACATCCATCCATTCATCCATTTATTCATCCATTTATCCATCCATTTATGCATCCATCCATCCATTTATTAATCCATTTATCCATCCATCCATTTCTGCATCCATCCATCCATCCATTTATTAATCCATTTATCCATCCATCCATTTCTGCATTCATCCATTCATCCATCCATCCATCCTTCTATCTATGCATCAATCCATTTATTCATCCATCCATCCATCCATCCATCCATTTATGCATCCATCCATTTATTCATCCATCCATCCATTTATGCATACATACATACATCCATTCATCCATTTATTCATCCATTTATCCATCCATCCATTTATGCATTCATCCATCCATCCATCCATCCATCCATTTATTAATCCATTTATCCATCCATCCATTTCTGCATCCATCCATCCATCCATCCATTTATTAATCCATTTATCCATCCATCCATTTCTGCATTCATCCATCCATCCATCCATTTATTAATCCATTTATCCATCCATCCATTTCTGCATCCATCCATCCATCCATTTATTAATCTATGTATCCATCCATCCATTTCTGCATTCATCCATCCATCCATCCATCCTTCTATCTATGCATCAATCCATTTATTCATCCATCCATCCATCCATCCATCCATTTATGCATCCATCCATTTATTCATCCATCCATCCATTTATACATACATACATACATACATTCATCCATTTATTCATCCATTTATGCATCCATCCATTTATTCATCCATCCATCCATTTATTCATCCATCCATTCATCTATTTATCCATCCATCCATTCATCCATCCATCCATTTATGCATACATACATACACCCATTCATCCATTTATTCATCCATTTATGCATCCATCCATTTATTCATCCATCCATTTATTCATCCATCCATCCATCCATCCATCCATCCATCCATCCATCCATCCATTTATTCATCCATCCATTTATTCATTCATCCATCCATCCATCCATCCATCCATTCATCCATCCATCCATTTATGCATACATACATACATTCATTCATCCATTTATTCATCCATTTATGCATTCATTCATCCATCCATCCATCCATCCATCCATTTATTAATCCATTTATCCATCCATCCATCCATCCATCCACCCATTTATGCATCCATCCATCCATCCATTCTTTCAAATATTTTTTGTAAATTGATTTCAGAGACAGGAAGGGAGAGGGAGAGAGACAGAAACATCCATGAGGAGAGAGAATCGTGGACCGGCCGCCTCCTGCACGCCCCCCCACTGGGGATGGAGCCCACAACCCGGGCCTGTGCCCTTGACTGGGAATCGAACCCTGACCTCCTGGTTCACAAGTCGACGCTCAACCACTGAGCCACACCGGCCAGGAAAGAAGTTTTAAAACATGCAATACCTGCCCTAACCGGTTTGGCTCAGTGGGTAGAGCGTCGGCCTGCGGACTGAAGGGTCCGGGTTCGATTCCGGTCAAAGGCATGTACCTGGGTTGCGGGCACCTCCCCAGTGGGGCGCGTGCAGGAGGCAGCTGATCGATGCTTCTCTCTCATCGATGTTTCTGACCCTCTATCCCCCTCCCTTCCTCTCTGTTAAAAAATCAATAAAATATATTTAAAAAAAATAAAACATGCAATCCCTAACTATTTAGTCATCGGCACTGACCTCTTTTCCTTTAGACTGAAAAAAAAAAAAATACAGCAATAGCCGTCCAGTGTGAATAGGCATCAGTATTTTAGCAATTACTTTACGGACGCCGTGAAATGAGAAAGGCTGGAATGGATTGAGCTTGGGGTGGCCAATGGCTGCACGATGGATTTCAGAGGGGTTTGCACCAGCTGGGTCCGACGGCTGACAAATTTAAGTTTTTAATCCCACACGAGCGTTTATCCCAAGCCTGCCGGCGGCACCGGAGACCAGCAGGTCATCCACAAACACCTGCTCGGCCCTCCCCCTCAGCCAGCTGCGTATGCTGGGCAGGGGGACAGAGATTACATGGGGAAGTAGGAATTATGGGCATGGGGAAGCAGGCAAAAGGCTATGCCTAGTGGACAGTTCACAGCCAATGCAGGAGGGAGATTTGCAAAGGCCTACGGGCATGCAAAGGCTGGGGTCTTTAAAAGGCTTGGAGATGTGCAAAGGGCCTGGGGTCTGCAAAGGGCTGGGGTCTGCAAAGTGCTGGGGGTCTGCAAAGGGCTGGGGGTTTGCAAAGGGCTGGGGGTCTGCAAAGGGCTGGGGGTCTGCAAATGGCCTGGGGTCTGCAAAGGGCTGGGGGTCTGCAAAGGGCCTGGGGTCTGCAAAGGGCTGGGGGTTTGCAAAGGGCTGGGGTCTGCAAAGGGCTGGGGGTCTGCAAAGGGCTGGGGTCTGCAAAGGGCTGGGGGTCTGCAAAGGGCTGGGGGTCTGCAAAGGGCTGGGATTTGCAAAGGGCTGGGATTTGCAAAGGGCTGGGGGTTGCAAAGGGCTGGGGGTTGCAAAGGGCTGGGGGTCTGCAAAGGGCTGGGGTATGCAAATGGCCTGGGGTCTGCAAAGGCCTGGGGGTCTGCAAAGGGCCTGGGGTCTTCAAAGGCCTTGGGGTCTGCAAAGGGCTGGGGGTCTGCAAAGGGCTGGGGTTTACAAAGGCCTGGGGTCTGCAAAGGTCTGGGGGTCTGCAAAGGGCTGGGGGTCTGCAAAGGGCTGGGGGTCTGCAATGGGCTGGGGGTTTGCAAAGGGCCTGGGGTCTGCAAAGGGCTGGGGGTCTGCAAATGGCCTGGGGTCTGCAAAGGGCTGGGGGTCTGCAAAGGGCTGGGGTTCTGCAAAGGCCTGGGGGTCTGCAAAGGGCTGGGGTTTGCAAAGGGCTGGGGTCTGCAAAGGGCTGGGGGTCTGCAAAGGGCTAGGGGTCTGCAAAGGGCTAGGGTTTGCAAAGGGCGGGGGTCTGCAAAGGCCTGGGGTCTGCAAATGGCCTGCGGTCTGCAAAGGGCCTGGGGTTTGCAAAGGCCTGGGGTCTGCAATGGGCTGGGGGTTTGCAAAGGGCTGGGGTCTGCAAAGGGCGGTGGCTCTGGCTAATGCAAGACGCACCCCGTTACCATGGACATCGCGGCGATTTAATGAAGGAGCCGTTCTCGCGCGACCCTCCATTCCCAGCCCCTGCCACTCTGGGCCCATTTGCAAAGGACAGATTCCCGCCAGCCCAGCCCCGGGGGCCCGCGCGGCTGGGTCCCCGCGAACCAGGCTGCCAAGGCGGCCGCAGAGACGGAAAAAGTCTGCGCGGGCGGCGGGTTTTGCGCGCGCGCGACGCTCACCATGACCCGGTCCTTCTGGGGAGACGCCTTGGACGACGAAGACGAGGCGGCCCCGGAGACACTCTGCCTTCGCAGCTCAGAACATGTTTTCCTGTCAATCAAACAGAGTGACAGACGTCGCTGCCGGCAGGAAGAGATGGGGGGAGTGGGAGGGACTGCAGCGAATTCAAGCATGCATGCTTTTTTTAAAAAATATGTATTTTTATTGATTTCAGCGAGGAAGGAAGAGAGAGAGAAAGAGAGAGAGACATCCATGATGACAGAGAATCATGCATCGGCCGCCTCCTGCACGCCCCCTGCTGGGGATCCAGCCCGCAAACCCGGGCACGTGCCCTTGGCTGGAATCGAACCCGGGACCCTTCGGTCAACAGGATGACGCTCTATCCACTGAGCCACACCGGCCAGGGCTTTTTAAAATATATATATATATATATTTTTTTTTATTGATTTCAGGGAGGAAGGGAGAAGGAGAGAGAGATAGAAACATCCATGATGAGAGAGAATCATGGACCGGCTGCCTCCTGCACGCCCCACACTGGGGTTCGAGCCGTGACCGGGAATCGAACCCTGGCCTCCTGGTTCATAGGTCGACCCTAAACCATTGAGCCACACCACCTGGGCAAGGATACATCCTCTACCAGCTTTCATTTGGGTCGTTATAAGAACCAGTGAGTGCTAGTGACATAGAGTAATTCTTTAAAAAAAAAAACAAAAACATTTTTATTGCCATAGCCGGTGTGGCTCAGTGGATAGAGCGTCGGCCTGAGGACTGAAGGGTCCCGGGTTCGATTCCCGGTCAAGGGCACATGCCCAGGTTGCGGGCTGGATCCCCAGTGGGGGGCGCGCAGGAGGCGGCCGGTCCGTGATTCTCTCTCAATCATGGATGCTTCTCTCTCTCTCTCCCTTCCTCTCTGAAATCAATAAAATAAATTTTTTTTTTAAAAGAATAAAAACCTTATACTATTCAATGGAATCTTAGCAAACAAAGGACATATTAGCAAACCAACCTTTAGAGCAATATCAGACGAGGAAGCGAAGAACTCTACAGTCCGCACTACGATGACGTTTCAGGGAAGGCTCCCCATATAATTCCATCTTCACGACGGACGCATTGGGGATTCCGCCGGCCCTCCAAAGCCATTCCCGTTCGCCCTGGGGCACCGGGCAAAACGACACCTAGAACGTAAGAGAGGAGGATATAAATCCCGTCTAATAAAAGCCCAACAGGCTAAGTGTCAGGTCGGCCGGTCGGCCGGTCGGCCGGTCAACCAATCACAGCGCGATAGGCTAATGACACGCGAAGGCCGCTCAGCCGCTGGCTATGACGTGCCCTGACCACCAGGGGGCAGACAGCCCTCCCTCGTCCCTCCCCGGCCCCGATCGTGCACCCGTGGGGTCCCTCGGCCTGGCCTGCGCCCTGTCGCCATCCGGGACCCCTCGGGGGAGGTCGGAGAGCCGGTTTCGGCCCGATCCCACAGGCCAGGCGGAGGGACCCCACGGGTGCACGAATTCGTGCACCGGGCCTTCTGGTATCTTCCTAAAAGATGCCATCCATCATCTCAGACGCTTCAATATGGTTCCATGACGATGTTTGTTTCCTAAATAATCCCCAAGACATCGCGTCCGTAAGTCCCACATTCTTGCATTTCACGAGGGACGGCTGAGCCCGGACGTTGAATGAGATGAGACGGAAAGGGCATTTCAACGACGACTGCGATACAACCCCTGCCGGCGAAGAGATGACGTCGCCAAAGCTAATATATTTGTTTTTTTAATATGTTTTTATTGATGTCAGAGAGGAAGGGAGAGAGGGAGAGAGAGACAGAAACATCCGTGAGGAGAGAGAATCATGGGCCGGCCGCCTCCTGCACGCCCCCCGCTGGGGATCGAGCCCACAACCCGGGCCTGTGCCCTTGACCGGGATTCGAACCCGGGACCCTTCAGTCCGCAGGCCGGCGCTCTACCCACTGAGCCACACCGGCTAAGGTAGCACTTTAGTGCTTATCTTTCTAAATATAATTCGTATCATGGACTTCAACCACGCTGACCTCGCTGGGTTTAACGGTGAGATGGCAAAGGGGAAAATGTTTGCGGAATATATGTGTGTCTGTGCGTGTCTGTGTGTCCGTGTATATGTGTGTATATTGTGTCTGTGTACTGTGTGTAAATGTGTGAATACGTGTGTATGTGTCTCTGTCTATGTATGTGTGTATATGTGTGTATGTGCCTGTGCATGTTTGTTTATATGTGTGTATGTGTGTATCTGTGTGTATGTGTCTACATCTGTATGTGTATATGTGTACATGTGTATAAATGTGTATGTGTATGTATCTGCGTATGTCTATGTATATGTGTATGTGTATAAGTGTATGTGTATATGTGTATATGCATGTCTTCATGTGTGTATGTGTACATGTGTATGTGTATATGTGTGCATCTGTATGTGTGTCTATGTATATGTGTGTATAGTTTGTATGTATCAGTGTACATGTGTATGTCTATTTGCATGTTTGTATCTGTGTATATGTGTGTATATACATGTATATATTTGTGTGTATGTGTGTACATGTATGTGTATAAATGTGTATGTGTTTCTATATATGTGTGTATATGTGTATGTGTCTCTGTGTATATGAGTGTATATATGTGTCTGTTTATGTGTATGTATATGTGTGTATATGTATATGTGTGTGTGTCTGCATATGTGCACATGTGTATATATGTGTATGTGTGTGTGTGCCTGTGTGTATATGGGTGTGTATATGGGTGTGTCTGTGTATATGTGTGTATATATGTGTGTAAGGTTATGTGTGTGTGTTTGAGTCTGTATGTGTGTATATGTGTGTATAAATGTATGTGTCTGTGTCTGTTCATGTATATGTATGTGTCTGAGTCTGTGTATAAATGTATGTCTGTGTGTGTGTCTATGTCTGTGTGTGTGTATGTGTATGTGTGTCTGTATATGCATGTATATGTGGTGTGGTGTGTGTATATTTGTGTGTATATGCGTGTATATGTCTCTGTATGTGTCTGTGTACGTGTGTCTGTATATGTCTGTGTGTTGTGTATGTGTGTGTGTATATGTGTCTGTCTGTATATGTCTGTGTGTGCGTTGTGTCTGTGTATGTGTGTATATGTCTGTGTGTGTCTCTGTATGTGTGTCTGTGTATATGTATGTGTACCTGTATATGTCTGTGTGTTGTGTGTGTATATGTCTGTGTCTATATATGTGTGTGCACTGTGTATGTGTATGTGTGTATATGTCTGTGTGTCTCTGTGTGTGTGTCTGTGTATATGTATGTGTACCGGTATATGTCTGTGTGTTGTGTATGTGTGTGTATATGTCTGTGTCTATATATGTGTGTGCACTGTGTCTGTGTATGTGTGTATATGTCTGTGTGTCTCTGTGTGTGTGTCTGTGTATATGTATGTGTATCTGTATATGTCTGTGTGTTGCGTATATGTGTGTATGTGTGTATGTGTCTGTATATGTCTGTGTGTGTGTGTCTGTGTATATGTGTGTATATGTCCCTGTGTGTGTATCTGTGTGTGTGTTGTCTGTGTATGTCCCCGTGTGTGTGTTGTGTGTGTATGTGTGTGTGTCTGTGTATATGTGTGTATATGTCCCTGTGTGTGTGTGCATCTGTGTGTGTATATGTCCCCGTGTGTGTCTGTCTGTGTGTTGTGTGTCTGTGTGTGTCTCGGTGTGTATATGCATGTATATGTCTCCGTGTGTGTTGTGTGTGTCTCTGTGTGTGTATATGTGTGTATATGTCCCTGTGTATGTGTGTTATCTGTGTGTGTATGTGTCCCCGTGTGTGTGTTGTGTGTGGTTATGTGTATATGTCTGTGTCTGTGTGTGTGCTGTGTGTCTGTGTGTGTCTCTGTGTGTATATGCCTGTATATGTCCCCATGTGTGTTGTCTGTGTGTGTATATGTCCCCGTGTGTGTGTCTGTGTGTGTGTTGTGTGTGTATATGTCTGTGTCTCTGTGTGTGTCTGTGTGTATATGTCCCCGTGTGTGTGTCTGTGTGTGTGTTGTGTGTGTATATGTCTTTGTGTGTGTCTCTGTGTGTATATGTCCCCGTGTGTGTGTCTGTGTGTGTGTTGTGTGTGTATATGTCTGTGTGTGTGTCTCTGTGTGTATATGTCCCCGTGTGTGTGTCTGTGTGTGTGTTGTGTGTGTATATGTCTGTGTGTGTTGTGTGTGTATATGTCTGTGTGTGTGTCTGTGTGTATATGTCCCCGTGTGTGTGTCTGTGTGTGTGTTGTGTGTGTATATGTCTGTGTCTCTGTGTGTGTCTGTGTGTATATGTCCCCGTGTGTGTGTATATGTCTGTGTGTGTTGTGTGTGTATATGTCCCCGTGTGTGTGTCTGTGTGTGTGTTGTGTGTGTATATGTCTGTGTCTCTGTGTGTCTCTGTGTGTATATGTCCCCGTGTGTGTGTCTGTGTGTGTGTTGTGTGTGTATATGTCTGTGTGTGTGTCTCTGTGTGTATATGTCCCCGTGTGTGTGTCTGTGTGTGTGTTGTGTGTGTATATGTCTGTGTGTGTGTCTCTGTGTGTATATGTCCCCGTGTGTGTGTCTGTGTGTGTGTTGTGTGTGTATATGTCTGTGTGTGTCTGTGTGTATATGTCCCCGTGTGTGTGTCTGTGTGTGTGTTGTGTGTGTATATGTCTGTGTGTGTGTCTCTGTGTGTATATGTCCCCGTGTGTGTCTGTGTGTGTGTTGTGTGTGTATATGTCTGTGTGTGTGTCTCTGTGTGTATATGTCCCAGTGTGTGTGTCTGTGTGTGTGTTGTGTGTGTATATGTCTGTGTGTGTTGTGTGTGTATATGTCTGTGTGTGTGTCTGTGTGTATATGTCCCCGTGTGTGTGTCTGTGTGTGTGTTGTGTGTGTATATGTCTGTGTCTCTGTGTGTATATGTCCCCGTGTGTGTGTCTGTGTGTGTGTTGTGTGTGTATATGTCTGTGTGTGTTGTGTGTGTATATGTCTGTGTGTGTGTCTGTGTGTGTGTGTGTGTATATGTCTGTGTGTGTGTCTGTGTGTGTTGTGTGTGTATATGTCTGTGTCTCTGTGTGTGTCTGTGTGTATATGTCCCCGTGTGTGTGTCTGTGTGTGTGTTGTGTGTGTATATGTCTGTGTCTCTGTGTGTGTGTGTATATGTCCCCGTGTGTGTGTCTGTGTGTGTGTTGTGTGTGTATATGTCTGTGTGTGTTGTGTGTGTATATGTCTGTGTGTGTGTCTGTGTGTATATGTCCCCGTGTGTGTGTCTGTGTGTGTGTTGTGTGTGTATATGTCTGTGTCTCTGTGTGTGTGTGTATATGTCCCCGTGTGTGTGTCTGTGTGTGTGTTGTGTGTGTATATGTCTGTGTGTGTGTTGTGTGTGTATATGTCTTTGTGTGTGTCTCTGTGTGTATATGTCCCCGTGTGTGTGTCTGTGTGTGTGTTGTGTGTGTATATGTCTGTGTGTGTGTCTCTGTGTGTATATGTCCCCGTGTGTGTGTCTGTGTGTGTGTTGTGTGTGTATATGTCTGTGTGTGTTGTGTGTGTATATGTCTGTGTGTGTGTCTGTGTGTGTGTGTGTGTATATGTCTGTGTGTGTGTCTGTGTGTGTTGTGTGTGTATATGTCTGTGTCTCTGTGTGTGTCTGTGTGTATATGTCCCCGTGTGTGTGTCTGTGTGTGTGTTGTGTGTGTATATGTCTGTGTCTCTGTGTGTGTGTGTATATGTCCCCGTGTGTGTGTCTGTGTGTGTGTTGTGTGTGTATATGTCTGTGTGTGTGTCTCTGTGTGTATATGTCCCCGTGTGTGTCTGTGTGTGTGTTGTGTGTGTATATGTCTGTGTCTCTGTGTGTGTCTGTGTGTATATGTCCCCGTGTGTGTGTCTGTGTGTGTGTTGTGTGTGTATATGTCTGTGTGTGTGTCTCTGTGTGTATATGTCCCCGTGTGTGTGTCTGTGTGTGTGTTGTGTGTGTATATGTCTGTGTGTGTGTTGTGTGTGTATATGTCTGTGTGTGTGTCTCTGTGTGTATATGTCCCCGTGTGTGTGTCTGTGTGTGTGTTGTGTGTGTATATGTCTGTGTGTGTGTCTCTGTGTGTATATGTCCCCGTGTGTGTGTCTCTGTGTGTATATGTCCCCGTGTGTGTGTCTGTGTTGTGTGTGTGTGTGTATAT